TTGACAAACTACAGCCAGTGGGCCAAATTCAGCCCGTCATGTGTTTTTGACCTTGAGCTAATTTACATTTTTACATGATTGAAAAAAATATCAAAACAATAATACTTCCTGTCATGTAAAAATGCTACGAAATTCAAATCTCAGTGTCCACAAATAAAGTTTTATGGGAACCCTGCTATGCCCATTCATTTACCATCATCTAAGGCCACCTTCCTGGCTACAAAAACCCTGCGAGTCATTGTTACAGAGACTGGATGGTCCACAAAGCCAAAAATATTTACTCTCTGGCTCTGTACAGAAAAGGTTTGACAGTTCCACGTCTATACTCCAAGGTGAAATGTTCTATATCAATAGGAAAGGTGTTTTTTGTTTGTCTGTTTGTTTTGTTTAGTGCTTGAGGAGTTCAGAGGAGGGGAAACACATGTTTATTTGGCCCACAGCATGCAGAGCTGGAGGGGATAGGCAGGTGTGCTCTGTTTTAAGACTCAATGCATGAAAACCCTGACTTTAAAACAGATAAATTAAAAAGTAGTTATTTGCATAACAAATTTTGCTTTCATCTTATAAAGCGATTCACCACAGGGTTCCTTTATAGAGTGAGCCTCCATAATACATGCGAATATGATTCCATTTACAAATACTCTATTCATTATAACTTTTCAAGAATATACCTATTGTGTACAGTGAGGCTTAACTATGATCATTTTTTCCTGGCAGTATAAGGTTTCCTACTTCTGAAAAGTGATTGAGCTGACCTTGTCAATTCGATTGGGAGAGGAAGCACTCTTCTTTATTGTCTCCGAGAGGGGATTTACCTGTCCAACAGCAAGGCTGTGGATTCTGTCTCTGCATTATGTGATACTGAGTAGCTGCTGGTATAATTTTACATTTTCCCTGAGCTCCTCTCAGTAGCCGCAGCCAAAGTCCTAAAGTGTAAACTAGTCTCACTGTTCTCTTACTTCATTTCATATACAAGATATGCTAATAAAAATTATTTGTTGGCTAGACATGGTGGCTCATGCCTATAATCCCAGAATTCCAGGAAGCTGAGGCAGGTGGATCACTTGAACTCAGGAGTTCGAGACCAGCCTGGGCAACATAGTGAGATCCCCATCTCTACCAAAAAAAAAAAAAAAAAGTCCGGGTGTGATGACACACATCTGTGGTCCCAGCTACTCAGGAGGCTAAGATGGGAGAATCCTGTGAGCCAAAGAGTTGAAAGCGGCCGTGAGCTATGATCACACCACGGCACACCAGCCTGGTCAACAGAGGAAAACCTTGTCTCTAAATTAATGAACTAGTTAATTAAATAATTTTGTTGCCGATGTCCTGATAAATATGTGACAAGCATTACTTGTAAAAAGCAATGTGTCTCTCTCTTTTTAAAAAATTTCAAGACATTTTCTTGTCTGAATTACAACATAAACTGGGGCCAGTATTCAGATTAGGGCTCTCCCCAGCAAAATAGGAAGTGATAGCAATTTAGGACCTGTCTCCTTCTCTCACTGGGTCCTGAGCCTGAGTCTTCGCATAGCTTTGTGGTGTTACGCAATTGCTCTTTGTAAGAGATACATAAAATGGAAACCTTAGCTATTCGTAGCCAACTTAGGAGGAGCTGAATTTGATCAAGAAATTTCTTGCTGGGTGCCATTTTGATGGTAACTATGTGTTTCTGAACAAATCCACTTATAATCTGGGTTTCAAATGGAGGTTATTTTAAAGAGCTGTAGCATGGCTTTTGTTTTCATCCTCTGTGGTGACTATATTTTAGAAGTAGACAAGCATTCCTGGCATATAGCCTGAATATTTTTTTAGGTTTTTTAGTGGTAAAAGAAGCTCACATGGAAAGGCAAGGGCAGAAAAAATCATGTTCAGGGCAGTCCTGTGTGGCATTACCCTCTGGTGAAGCAGATCCACACTGCATGCTGCTAATGGCTATTGCATGACAGCTCTTAAAGGGGTAAGCGAGAGAGGTGCAGAGGGCTGGTGAGAAGCAGAGCTAGCACTGAGGCCCTACAAATGGCATCATCGTCAATCGGGCTGGCGGCTGCTGCTGGAGATGGTTTGGCTGCCCCTGCAGGCTCAGCTTCTCACACTGTATAGGCAGGTAGATTTCAGCCATTTCTAAAGCCCATCACTGGCAGGGAAATCACATTTAATCCATCTGTGAGGTTCTCTAACGAGGAGTCTCTCTTTTTTTTTTTTTAAGATGGAGTCTCACTCTGTTGCCAGGCTGGAGTGCAGTGGCACAATCTCGGCTCACTGCAACTTCTGCCTCCCAGGTTCCAGCAATTCTCCTGCCTCAGCCTCCCAAGTAGCTGGGACTACAGGCACGCACCACCATGCCCAGCTAATTTTTGTAGAGACGGGGTTTCACCATGTTGGCCAGGATGGTCTCCATCTCTCGACCTCATGATCCGCCCGCCTCGGCCTCCCAAAGTGCTGGGATTACAGGCATGAGCCACTGTGCCTGGCCGAGGGGTCTCTCTTTTCAGAAGTCAGAAGCGCTGGAATTGAAAACAGCAGCAAGAAGGCTTCATTGCATTCTTGAATTCAGGCTATTGCACTCCACCCCCTACAACTGTCTCTGAATTATTGCTACCCAGTTTATAGCTCCATATTTTTGTTGTTGTTTCTCCAATGCAGTCTGTAGTGGTGGCAGGTACTGATCATAAAACAAATGGATAAGTACTGAATAAACTATATTCGTTCAGTTTTCTTTTTCCCTGATGGTAATTTTTAAACTTTTCAAAATTAATGCTAATGGATATAGAGGAATGGGATATGCATTTCTGTGCATTTTTATGACCAAACAGAAAACCGACCCCTGAGAGTGACATATTTACTATTCTCTACTACTAGGGGTGCTTCAAGGGAGGAGTGTTTGAAGCCCTGTGGTTTAAACAAAAGGAGAGCATACCCCACTCCACCCTGAACAAACAGCAGCCGGGCAGATTTCATCTCACAAATGGAAATAGGAGCAAACAAATTTTTTCAAAGCAATTTTATAAAGAGTGGGCCTGTTTAATTGGGTTTTTTGAGCCAGGATTAATATCATAAGCTGGGGAGCTCTGTGACATGGCTGCATCGTTGGCTTTGCCATACCGCCTACCTCCTGGGGGAAGGCAGAGGAAAGCGCTGCTATTCAGAAGCAATTTTACTTCTGCCTCGGCCTTCTCACTTCTCACTGAAGTGATTTACAGCCAGCCTGGACCCAGCGCCCAAGCCTGAGCTGAGTTACATGTAATGTTGGAAAGATCTTCCCCAAATCAAGGTCATATCTAGAGCTTGCTTTGGATATTTTTTTCATTTCTAATTTATGTAACTTTCTAATACGTTTAGCATTTGCCCTTCCCTTGTCTCCATCCTGCTTATTAAGGTGAATTTGCATAGAAATGGGATCTTGGTCTTCAGGACCATTCACCTGACACTTGATCCCACGAGGCGACCACTGTCTACTGTTGATTCCATGAGGATGACCCACAGAAGCGATGTCTCTCTGAAAACTAGAGGCAAGGCCTTAATTAGAAGAAGCCTTGCATGTTAAAGTGATGGGGTGAATCAAATCAGCAAAGGCATTTACCATTAACTTAGGAGGGCAGAATACTCCTTCCTGTTGAGTGGGTCGTCCTAGGTCACAACCATTTTACTTTGCCTTCGATAGATGGATCTTGAAGAAAGTGTACAAAAAGTATATTTGCGGTGGTGGTGTTTGGAAGTATGTTTTGACTGGTGATAAAGCTCAGAGAGTTAACTATGACATTTTACTTTGGCTCCTGGTCTATTTTTTGCTTAACATCTACCTTTGAATGGGTAATAGTCATCTCTGTAAATTACCTTCAAAAGACCGAGCAGTTGTGGAGAATCAGAGAAATGAGCCCCTTTCTATCACCCTATTGCAGTCGCTTTAATCCTGTGATCTCCTGGCGTTTCACCCTCTCACTGGCAGCCACCTTCCTTATTTACCCAAATCTTGCTGACTTGGGTAGGAATTCCCACTGAGAGGACAACTGTGGTCCCAGTTGACTGGTCACTGAAAGTCTATTAGGTTAGAGGATATTTATTTTCTACCCCAAAGGGTTTGAAACTTAGGGAAATTTTGATCAACAAGAAAATAACAGCTTTCGGCCGGGCGCGGTGGCTCAAGCCTGTAATCCCAGCACTTTGGGAGGCCGAGACGGGCGGATCACGAGGTCAGGAGATCAAGACCATCCTGGCTAACCCGGTGAAACCCCGTCTCTACTAAAAAATACAAAAATCTAGGGGGGCGAGGTGGCGGGCGCCTGTAGTCCCAGCTACTCGGGAGGCTGAGGCAGGAGAATGGCGTGAACCCGGGAGGCGGAGCTTGCAGTGAGCTGAGATCCGGCCACTGCACTCCAGCCTGGGCGACAGAGCGAAACTCCGCCTCAAAAAAAAAAAAAAAAAAAAAAAAAAAAAAAAGAAAATAACAGCTTTCAAGATTGTCCTGACATTAAGCTGTCTTAGCAGAGAATCACAGGATTTGATAGTCATGGAGATTAGGTCTCGAATTTCAATGAGAAAAGTTCATAGGAGATGGGAGTGACGGAAGAAAACTTGTGCTGATTTTGGTTAGGATACCTTTGCTGGGGGAAAATGCATTCCATAAAATTATTTTAAAACGTAAATACTATTTAGCTTTATCTTGTATAATACTTTGCATCTATCTATCTATCTATATATATATATATATGTAGATATAGATTTTTTTTTTTTGAGACAGAGTCGTCACCCAGGCTGTAGTACAGTGGCACAATCTTGGCTCACTGCAACCTCTGCCTCCTGGGTTCAAGCGATTATCTTGCCTCAGCCTCCCGAGTAGCTGGGACTACAGGCACATGCCACTGCACCTAGCTAACTTTTGTATTTTTAGTAGAGACAGGATTTCACCATGTTGGCCAGGATGGTCTTGAACTCCTGACCTCAGGTGATCTGCCCGCCTCAACCTCCCAAAGTGCTGGGATTACAGACATGAGCCACAACACCTGGCCTGCATCTATAATTTGATTTAACCTTACAACTTTATTAATTGAATATTATGATCACCAATTTATAGATGAGGAAACGGAGACTCCAAGGGTTTAATTACTTGCCCAAGAGTGTACAGCTATCTACCAACAAAACTGGGACTGAGGCCAGCTCTCTTGCCATTACATCCCCACTGCCTCCTAAAGCACAACTCTAGTTCATACTAAATGTATTACCTAGGCTGATTCATTTATCTTTACACAGGTCTCACGCATTACGAGAAGGGGGCCACAATTTTAACTCAATTCAAAAATGTTAACATCAAAATTTCCAAAATGTACTTGGTTTATAATATAATCATAAAATAAGTAATCTGACCAATTGAGTATCCCAACTCGAAAACCAAAAAATGCTTTCTACTCTCAAACCATGCAGAAGGAAGCTGAGTTCCCCACTGGCCAATGCTGTCTAATTCTCTTAAATGATTCAGATGTAAAAGAGGAAATGGCATCTGTCTAATTAACACTGCCTGTTTAAATATAGCTGCCAAGGGACAGCCTTGGGACAGTGTTTACAGAATAGTCTTTCCAGCCCCTCGGGCCTCAAGTTACAGATGATAGCAAGCCTTCCCTCCTTATCAGCTGCAAACAGAGATGCCCCCAAAAGTGGTGTCAGGCCAGGATGATGAAAGGAGAAGGGAAAGGCTGCGGCTGGCCTTCATTTCCTGCTCCTGGCATCTAGGGATTCCAAGAATGATCCCAGGACCCAGATCCTATAGATTCCGGCTCTTCCTGCAAACACAAACCCTTGTTGTGTGCCTGAGCCTTGCTCTCCGGCCTGGAGACATCCATCTGCCCACTCTCCTAGGAACTGCTGATTACCAGGAAGCACCATGGGCTCTGCTGCCCTCCCCCTGGCAGAGAGGCACAATGACCACATTATTTCTCTTCCAGCTTCACGTTACAGCATGGAAGCTGTCGCCAAGTTTGATTTCACTGCCTCAGGTGAGGATGAACTGAGCTTTCACACTGGAGATGTTTTGAAGGTAGGTGACATGGGGCCCCAGGGGAGCAATAGGGAGTTTCAGTTACTCAGTAATCTGACAGTCCCTGCCTTTGTCTCTTAAGAACTGCATGTGGTTCCTTTTAAAAAGAGAAGTTCACCTTGATTCCCTTTGTGCACCCTTATAGCAGACACCAACCAGGCCAGGTGATGGAAATACAGAGTCGACATAAGCCACCATCCTTGTCCTGGGAGGTTCGTAGCCTGGAGAGGGGGCACATCCACCCGAAGGGCTGTTACACATGTTCTTGGCTAAGTTCTTAGGGAGCACAGGTGAGGGAACAAGTGATTCCACCTGGAAAGATGAGGGTTGTGGGAGTGCGTGCAATGTGAACGTCAGGAATGCACTGAAGGTGACTTGGGCTTTTAGCTAAAGCTCAGAGATATGCAAGCCCTTGCTGAATTTAGAGAGCAGCGCCAGGCTCAGCAGAGCTGGAACTCAGGAGGAGAGGTTGTGGGTAGAGACAGCTTGGGAAAGGCAGCCACAGAGGACATGGCTCAACAAAGGCCATGCACACCTGGCCACTCAGGGGCTTTTTAAAGCTTGTCCTCAGCCTGCACTTGAGTTGTAGAGGCCACTTGCTGGGCTGAAGTGGCCTTGGGCTTCTCCCTCATTCATGCACCATACTTTCAGACTCTGCATCTTAGCCCTTGGGTTTTTTGTTTGTTTTGTTTTTTGTTTTTTTTTTGTTTTGCAAAAGAGTGTAAGCCATTCAAAAGGGCTTTTGGGAGTATGTGGAGCCAGACCCCCGCTGCCTGACCTCAGATCACCCTCAGATAGCCTGATTCCTGGTCCGCAGCAGTCCCGATGAGTCTTCTCGGATGCCCAGCAACACTGAGGCCATTAGTGTCTCGCCGCCGAGAACTAGTTTGTTATACAAAGAACCTTGTCAGCATGTGAGAGAGTGACTTTGAAAGCGTCTGAGGAGCACAAAACACCACAGAATGGCTTCTTTTGGAATATGAACATGCCCATTAGGTAGCCTTCTAACTGCCCTCAACTTTCAAGATCTAGTACCATGGTGGCAAAGCGTAGGCTTTCACGAACTTAAAATATGAGTTGGGCCTCCTGACCCAGGAAAACCTGTCTGTCACTGCTTTGGGATCTTACCAAGGTCCTGGAGGGACTTGCCGTGCAGTGAGAAGTTCCTGCTTTCTCTATGGGGCACTGTGACCATGTGACTGTCATCCACTGGAGACCATCCTTGCACCAACTTCCACCCTTGTCTTCCATTGCAAAGAGAAGCTGGTATCTTAAGTTTTCTCTATTCCCCAGCAAAAGAAAAGGAAAGAAAAAAAAAAAACTTTGCTCAACTCTGCTTCCCAATCCAGCTCCTGATTTCTTTCCTCTCCTTTGTTGCTAATACTGGGAAGAATTTTCTACACTGGGTGTGCCTCACTTCCTCACTTCCCACTCATTCCACAACCCTCTGGAATCTCCCTTTTACCCTCCCCCCAACATTCTCTTGAAGTTCACCAGTGATCTCCTGAATGTGTAGTATAACAGCCCTGTGGAAATGGCTGTGGGGCTGATACTGCTAACTGGCCCTCTCCTGGAAGCCCCTTTCTCCCTGGATTTGGCAGCACCTCTGGGTTCTTCTCCTCCCTTCCTGAACACTCCTACAGGTCTCATTTCCAAGCATTCTTTTTCCTCTCTTGATCCTGAAATATATACTTCCCTGAAGGTGCTGCCTTTGGCTTTCTGATTCTTCTTCTCACTCTGAGCCACCTCTTCCTCTTCTCCGGCTGCAACCATCACCTCTGTGCTAAAGACCCTCAAGTCTATGGTTCATGTTCTAGCTCTGACCTTGTTCTTGAACTCCAGACCCAGACTTCCAATTGTCTGCTGGATGTCCCCATATGAACTCCAGGCCCTAACTTCGGATGCCCAGAATCACTCCAACCCCCATGCCCATCTCACCCCCACTTCCACCGAAGCCACTCTTCTTTCCATGTTCTAAGTATTGTCCTAGGTCAGTCACAAGCCAGGAGCCCCAGTTATCATCAGTGCCTCCCTTACCAAATCCTGGTGACCAGTAACCAACATCTCCTGACCTCCTGTTCAGGGCCAGGATCTAGCTAAGTGGTTTGCAGACATGATTTCATCATCTGAGCAAACGTATGAGGTAGGCATTCATTTCCCCTCCATTTCACAGATGAGAAACTGAGGCTAGGGATGAAATCACATGTCCACGGTCACGCAGCTAGAATGAAACCAATCCAGGACCTGGATAGAACTCTGTCTGACTCCTAAGCACTAAACTCTGCTCTGAATGTAATTTTTTCCTCATATCTCTCAAGCACGTCTCTTCTTCACCAGAAGGGAGTGTGAGGCAGTAAAAAGGAGCATAGACTTTGAGTCAAATGGATCTAAGTTTGAATCCCAGCTTACTAGCCGTGGAGCCTGGGGCCTAGTCGTCTGCCCTCTTTGAGCTTTAGTGTCTTCCTCAGCAAGTGGAGGTGGTATCTGTCTTGCCACGTTGTGGAGAGGATTCGAGGTGATGACCCTGGCCCAACGCAGACGCCCAATAAATGGTGGCCTGCATTATCGGGATCATCCATCCCCGCTGCCTCTGACTGCCCAGATCATTGCGGCAGCTCCTTGACTGACCTCATTACCTCTTATCTTTTTCCTCCTTCAATCATTCTACATACTAGTCCCAGAGGGATCTTTCCAGACAAATCGAATCATATCATTTCCTTGCTCAAAAGCATTCAGGGGTTTCCAATTACCAATTGATTGAGATTGAAAACATCTGGCCCCAAACCACTGTCCAATGTCATTATGCACATGTACACATGTGTGCACACACAGACATCCTTGTGGACGTAACGCCCGCAGGTTGCACTGCAATGTATACACCACCCTTTCTCAGCCTCTCCCCTATATACTCCGAGTGCCCCTCTCCCACACACACACATATTTGACCTCCTCTACCATGGAAACCTCACTGGTCCTCCCTACTCGCTACCATTGCAGGGAAACAAATCACTCCCTCTTCAGCTCCTCCCCAACATTTCACACAAACTTCACTCATTTCCAGGCACTTATGATTTTGCCTCACATGGCAGCTATTTATAGGCAGGCCATGACCCTGTGGTCTCATGCACCCTCTATTTCTGCCTCTCATTGCTGCCTTTGCCCGGTGGGATCCTAATTGCTCATTTATGTGTTGTCTACTCCACTAGCCAAAGCTGTGCAAGGGCAGGGGCCGTGTCTGCCTCAATGTCTAGAATAGCTGTGCCTGGAACTCCCTGATACTTGGTGAATGAATGACTTCAATTCCTCTCCATTCCCTGAGAGCAATGTCATCATGCACGTGTGCACACAATGCCAGGTTCATCTTTGTGTCTTCACAGCATCTAACACAAGTCATGGCCCAACATAGATACCCAGTACATATTTCTTGAATTGCTAAATTGGATTTCTTCCTGTTCATTTAGAATTCCGTCGGAAAGCCAACCCCCTCCCTCTTTTCAAATTCTGTCCATTGCAGGTAAAGAGCAAAATGGAGAGGGCTTGTTGACTGAGCCCCACGGAATGTCTGCAGGATGGTGGTTGGTTTCCATGCCTGGGGCTCCCCACATGTAATTGCAGTGTCTGCCCCCTCAATGGGTAACACACACAGGATCCTCACAAGTACTTTCAAAGCCAGTTCCTGACTACTCCAGCAACTCGCTTGTGGGATTCTCTGACTCATTTGGCCTTTTGTGCTAAAGACTAAACAGAGGTTTTCATTAGAAAGGTACAAAAAAAGTCTGAGCAGCCACTCACCCTCAACAGACCATGAGTTTCCTGGGGCAGAGGCCCCAGCTTATTTATCTCCGTATTTCATGCACCTAAGTGCAATCAGCAGGTGCTCACTAGATGCTGATCTACATGGCATGGTAAACAAGATGGTGGACAGGAAAACACCACTATATGACTTGATCTTGCTTCTTCTATAACAGAAACATTTGAAAACTCAGGAATCAGATTTTTTTTCCTATTCATGCCACAAAGGTGCATGTCACCATACCTGCAGCTACATGCAGCACCAGGCTCACATTTGAATTTGCCATTAAATTTGCCAGCAGCTTTGAAAAATGTCTCTTGACCCAGTCCATTTCTGTCTCCTTCTGTAATGCATCTAATGTGACCTCATTTCTTCCTGCTAAAATAGCAACCTAAAAGCACTAAGAGTTAATTCTACGTAATTTGTCTCTTCAATACTTCAGATTTCTGCTATGCTTCTAAAAGCTACAATTTCATCCAATTTAAGAATTCTTCCTGCTGTAATTTGGCCCTTCTCTTCCCACGTCTAACTTATGCTCAGGCCATGTAACCCAGAAAATCATCTCTTAGGGAACATTATAAGAATTAAACAGTAAAGAGTAAAACTTCAAGTGTTCAGGCTGAACGCCTCGCTCAGGTTTACACGATGGGTACACGAGATAGGGGGACCGAACAGATGGAGAGATGAGAAGAACAGGAAGTGCGGGGCCCTGGGCCCACAACGGCAGGAGGAAACCATCTCCCCTCCCCTCAAATACCTTTCTTTGCAGAAAATGAGAATTTTTTTTTTAAACCTCACCTTCTATACATGGTAAAAAGCCTGTGAATTCACCTCTCTAGAAACACAATGTCAGGCAGACCAAGCACCAGGTGGCGGAGAGAAATGGCTGGCATTGTGGGATAATCTTTCAGTTTCTAGAGGAGGTCTGAGGCATGATAATTAAAATTACAGAGCTGCTTTCAGGTCAGAAAACGAAGTACAAAGTGTGGGTTTTTTTTAGTTTTTGAGACAGTCTTGCTCTGTTGCCCAGGCTGGAGTGCAGTAGTGCGATCTCGGCTCACTGCAACCTCCACCTCCCGGGTTCAAGCAATTCTCGTGGCTCAGCCTCCCAAGTAGCTGAGATTATAGGCATGCACCACCATCCCTGGCTAATTTTTGTCTTTTTGGTAGAGATCAGATTTTGCCATGTTGGCCAGGCTGGTCTCAAACTCCTGACCTCAGGTGATCCACCCACCTCAGCCTCCCAAAGTGCTGGGATTACAAGCATGAGCCACGGCACCTGGCCTCAAAGTGTGGTTCTTAGGGTGATAAGCCAGTTTCCAAATGGCCTCTGTTACCCCTTTCTGTGTGACATTTGTTACCCTGGCCAAACACTGCATTCCCGTGTGACAGGAGAAAGGAATTCCAACGCCATGAATTCAGGAGCGATGGATGGAGTGCAGTGCTCTTGGTTCTTTACGTGGCTACGAGGCACTGCTGCTGGGTTTCCTAGTTCTTTTGACCTAGATTTTCTGCTTCCTCCCTTGCCCCCTTAGCACACACATACCCACATGTCCTTGGTGACACCAACAGTCACATTTGATGTTAGAAACTACAGAGTTTTCTGTTCTCAGCAATCTCAAACTCAAATATGGGACACACTTTTATTTCTTCAGAATAAATGACTAAATTCAAAACATACACACATACTGCTTTAAAGAACACATAAACCCTTCCATGTCCTATTCAGAGCTGGAGGCCTCCCTCGTAAGAATACCACATTTGATGGAATTGTATTTTTTTGAAAAGAGTCTACACTTTCTGAAGGACTTCCAGGTACCAGGGCTTATTTGATCCTCACAGCAGCTCTGTGAGGTGCTAGATGGCTATTATTATCCCCAGTTTTCACATGGCTAATTGACTTGGCCAAGATCACATATCTAGTGATGGAGCCAAGCTAGAAACCAGGTCTTCTGATTCCCAACCCACAACAGTGTCCCCTTCCTTCCACCTTGGAGTGATGTTAGAAATAGGCCATCATCTCCGCTCAAGCACTTAGTTCTTTCCATTATCTTCCCATCTTCTTTTCTGGGAGAGAGAAGCCCACGGGCCCTGTGACTTCAACTCCACCCACTTTCTGATAACTCTGAAACCCCAAGCCCCACCCTCACCCTCTCTCCTGGATCCAGACTGACATATCCAGCTGCTTCCTGAGCTTTTCTTCTCAGTTGAAGAATTCAATTCACAATCACCCGCATGCAATCTGAAGCCCATGAGCCCTTTCTCAGCCCTGCCTCCTTTCATGTATCTTCTATTTCTATAAAGCCATCACCACCTACTCAGTCTCCCAAGCCAGAAATCCAGTGGCATCCCAGAATCCTCTTCTCTCTTAGCTTCCAAGATTGGTCAAGAAATCCTGCCTGTTTGCTTCCTGAATTTCTCTAAAATATATCCTCGCCTCTTCTTAGCCCAGGCCCTATCATCTCTTGCCTGGAGGGCTGCGCTCATCTTCCTACAGTTTCTTTCCCAACTTTAGCCTTCCAATCTATCTTCACATTCTCATCTCTGATACAGAACTCTCTCTCTGTCTCTCTGTCTCTCTCTCTGTCTCTCTTTCTCTCTTTCTCTCTCTGAATTAGAGACAGAGTCTGTCTCTGTTGTCCAGGCTGTAGTACAATGGTGCAATCAGAGCTCACTATAGCCTTTAACTCCTGGGCTCACACGCTCCTCCCGCTTCAGCCTCCTGAGTAGCTAGGACTACAGATGCACTTCCACCACACCTTGCTAGGTTTTATTTTTATATTCATAGAGACAAGGTCTCGCTTTGTTGCCCAGGCTGGTCTCAGACTCTTGGGCTCAAGCAATCGTCCTGCTTGGGCCTCCTAAAGTGCTGGGATTACAGGCATGAGCCATCACGCCCAGCCAGAGCTCTTTCTGAACTCTAATTCTCACTGTTATTTCCCTGCTCAAAATCCTTTAAGGGCTGCCCCTACATTTCAAGATATTCACAGTCTACATTCCAGCCACCTGGAGGCATTTCATTCCCAGAATGCACCACACCTCCTCAGAGCCGAAGGAGGAAGTTCCATTGCCATCTGACTTGGCCTCAGTAACGCCTTTCATTGCTGAGGCGAGTGGTCTCTGCTTCACATATGAATGCCTTTTCTATCTATTTCTGCTTTCTTCTTTATCATCGTACTTCTATTAGTTATTTTCAGGAGCAAGAAACATAAACTAAAAATGGCTTAAACAATAACAAAGACTTGTAATTTCTCAAAGTCCAGAAGTAGGAAGGCTCCTGGATATCATATAATTCAGTGGTTCAGTGCATTATCAGGGTTCTTTCCATCTTTTGCTCTGCTATCCTTATTTAGAATTATTGTTCTAGTCTATATCATAGACTTAAAAAAAGATTTATTTTTTAAGAGAGAGTCTTACTCTGTTGCCCAGGCTGGATTGCAGTGGCAAGATCACGGTTCACTGCAACCTCGCCTCCTGGGTTCAAGCGATTCTCCTGCGTCAGCCTCCCGAGTAGCTGGGATTACAGGCATGTGCCACCAGGCCCGGCTACTTTTTGTATTTTTAGTAGAGGCGGCGTTCCACCATGACGGACAGGCTGGTCTTGAACTCCTGGCCTCAAGTGATCTATGTGCCTTGGCCTCTCAAAGTGCTGGGAATACAGGCATGGGTCACCACGCCTGGCCTCAGACTTTCAAAACATTCTCAGTGGCAGTGCCAAATATTTGTCTTTTAATGGTGCATCTCATTTTTTGAGAAACCAGAAGCCACATACAGTCAAGTCTGGTGAGTAATATGACTAACCAAGGTAGACAATAACATGTGGGGTCACAGTCAAAGTGAGGCCACAGAGTAACGATTCAGAACTTTTGGTTTTGCTTGGGATCTGGCTCTAAAAGCAAGTTGAGAAAAGGCATCCCCAGTATCTTGAGTTCCAGCCAAACTATCTGTGAAATCCACAGCATGTGAACACAAAGAGTTACTATTTCCAAAGCTGGCCCCACTGGGATGTTTAAGTTTTAATCTGCCTGTTTAAAAAACAAAAACAAATTAAATTTTTGGAAAGTTTCCTGGGCCAGGCCTGGTGGTTCATACCTGTAATCCCAGCACTTTGGAAGGTCAAGGCAGGTGGATCACTAGGTCAGAAGATCAAGACAGTCCCGGCCAACATGGTGGAACCCGTCTCTACTAAAAATACGAAAAATTAGCCAGGTGTGGTGGTGCATGCCTGTAATCCCAGGTACTTGGGAGGCTGAGGCAGGGGGATCACTTGGACCCGGGAGGTGGAGGTTGCAGTGAGCTGAGATCACGCCACTGCACCCCAGCCTGGCGACAGAGCAAGACTCCATCTCAAAAAAACAAAAAACAAAAAACAAACAAACAGAAAAGTTTCCTGGTTACCTGGAAGAGAGAAAAAAAAAAAACAACTATGGAGTAGCCACTCTTGCCTTCCCACCATCTGCTCAGATGAGGAACTTAAGGTGCTACCTGGGACAAACAAATTTCCAAAATAGAAGAAGGGATTCAGGGAAGTCCCTGAGAGCTGATTCTGGGAGGCCAAGCCACAGTGGGGTGACATAAGTGGACGTCCACAAGTGGACGGAAACAACTTGGGATGAGGAGAAGGTAAACCCATGGCTCCTCTACAGGCCTGGGGTAAATCCTAGAACAACTGTTCAGTTCTTTCAACTTATTAACATATTTTCCCTCTAAGTCCAGAAGGTCCTTCTTTGCCCTGCAGCCCCTTTCTCCTGTTTTTTGGTGTCCTCCCTCCAATGTCTTTGTCTTTCCTTTTCTTCCATGTAGATTTTGAGTAACCAAGAGGAGTGGTTTAAGGCGGAGCTTGGGAGCCAGGAAGGATATGTGCCCAAGAATTTCATAGACATCCAGTTTCCCGAGTAAGTATTCACAGCCGGCTGAGATGGGCCTACCCCCACACACTCCTCTGACTTTCCCAGCAATCACTGCAATTATCCATGGGAACCCAGGACATTGTCAAAAATGGCTGCCTCCGGAGATCTCTCCAGAGAGACGCCAGAGCACGCAGCTGAAGGCCAGGGCAGGAGGGAGACTTTGCATTTCATTTCATTCCCTTTTGATGTTTACACCATGTGTGTGTATTGCTATTTTAAGTGTTTCTTTCCTTTTTTATTTTTTTAGTTTTTTCTGTGAGTCAGTGTCTCACTCTGTCACCCAGGCTGGAGTGTGGTGATTCCATCACCACTCACTGCAGCCTGAAACTCCTGGGCTCAACCATCCTCTCGCCTCAGCCTCCTGAGTTGCTGGAATTACAGGCACATGCCACCATGACAGACTACGTTTTCTATTTTTAGTAGAGACAGGGTTTCACCATGTTGGCCAGGCTGGTCCCCAACTCCTAACCTCACGTGATCTGCTGCCTCAGCCTCCCAAAGTTCTGGGATTACAGGCATGAGCCACCGTGCCCAGCCTATTTTAAGTTTTGGAGGTTTTTTGGTTTGTTTGTTTGTTGGTTGGTTTGGTTTGTTTGTTTTGAGACGGAGTCTTGCTCTGTTGCACAGGCTGGAGTGCATCTCAGCTCATTGCAATTCTCCTGCCTCAGCCTCCCTAGTAGCTGGAATTACAGGCGCATGCCACCACACTTGGCTGACTTTTGTATTTTTAGTAGGAACAGGGTTTCACCATGATGGACGAGCTGATCTCAAACTCTTGAACTCAGGTGATCCACCTGCGTTGGCCTCCCAAAGTGCTGGGATTACAGGTATGAGCCACTGCGCCTGGCCTATTTTAAGTTTTTATAAAATGAGTTTGTAAACTCAAATTACCTATAGTGATTTCAGTCACAGGGTTCCCTAGAATTCCAAAGGGGGCACTATTGGCCACCCCACTTTGAGAGCTGCTCTCCTAAGCACTTCTCTGTGACCTCCCAATCCTAACCATCCTCACCAGGCTCTCAGCCTTCACTGCGTGGGTGGACAGACAGACACTCCCTGCCTTCAGTAAAGCGTGCTCACCCCAGTGAGAGAAGTCAGTGGGGGAAGGGGAAGTTCTCTTCCTAAAGAGGAAATGCAAAATTGAGATTGGGCTTCGTTTGTCTCAAGAATTGACCACAAGGGTTAGATAGAAATCTAATCTTGCCTCAGAACCAGGGTCTAGCTCAAAGAGCAAAAGTTTGTTAGAAAACCACAGTAGTATTGGTGACTCCAGCGAGGTGCAGGAGCAACACTCATGGTGAACCTGAACTGCCCACCAAACCAAGAGAATGACCACTGACCTTGACAGGGCCCTTGATGCTGCCCAGGAATCTGCTCGGTGACCTCTGCATACCCCACCTGCTCCTCAAACCTCCAGCCCCTCCCTGCATCACTCTCAGCCTGTGACCTTGATTCCAGGTTCTCTGGAACAATGAAAGCCACCAGAAGTGAAGCTCCCAGATTCCTCACCCCCACCCCACCCCTACCACATCCACCTGCCTCCTGCAAGTGTGCTCAAACAGTCGGCCTTTCCTGCAGCTGGCTGGAAGGAACTGTCGCTGCTTCTAGCAGAAATTCTCCTCTCTCTCCCCCACATCAACCTCCTTTCCCTCTCTGCTTGATCATTCCTGTCAGCAAACACACATGCTGCAATTTCTCCCAACTTACCAAAACACAAACAAACAAACAAAACCAAACCCAGAGGCCAGGTGGGCTTTGTGGTGGCTGATTCCTGTAGTCTCAGTCCTTTGAGAGTCTGAGGGAGGAGGATCACTTGAGGCTAGGAGTTTGAGACCAGCCTGGGCAACATAGTGAGACCCATCTCTACAAAAAAATGTTTTAAATTAGCTGGGCATGGTGGCATGCACCTGTAGTCCCAGCTGCTTGGGAGGCTGAGGCAGAAGGATCGCTTGAGCCTGGGAGTTCAAGGCTGTGGTGGGCTGTGATTACATCACTGCACTCCAGTCTGGGCAGCAGAGAGAGACTCTGTTTCAAAGAAAAAAAAATTAAATAAACAAATAAAACAAGAAAACTCTTAATATCAAATCCCCTTGCAGTTGCCACTCCATCTCTTCAAAAGGAGCGTGTGTATTTGCTGCTTCCAACTCCTCATCTCCCGACCCTTCCCGCCAGGCACACCGTGGGCTGCAGCTCCCAGGGGTCATCTCAGCCTGACCTGCCCTGGGGATCCCCCTCCCACTGGAACACCTTCTTCATTTTGGCTCCAGAACGTCCTTCCTCCATTTGTCTTCCCACTGCCCTGGCTTCTCCTCCTCAGTCTGTTGTGTTGGTTCCTCCCACACCCCAGTCCCCTACAGGTTTAGAATGTTTCCTTTTCAGTGAGGTCTTTCTCATCACCGTACCTTACATTAATCTCCCACCCGCAGTGCCCCATCTCTCCTCTCTGTTTTCATGTTCTCTACAGCACTTACCATCATCTGGCACACTGCAGGTCTTAATTATTTTGTTCTTTTGTTTGTGTCCCCCTCGACTAGAACGTAAGCTCCCTGAGGGCAGGGGTAGGTGTCTGTTCTGCCCACTACCGTGTCCCCAGTGCACAGGAGGGGGCCCAGCACAGTACTAGATGTTCAGTAAAGCTTTTGAATGAATGAATGAATATGTAATATTGAAACCATAACCACTCATGTCTAATATGCAATGTGTGGTAATTTTTACAAATCTTGAAAGAATCCCCCTATCAGATTGCAATCGGAGGACAAATGTGTATTTCCTAAATCCCCTTCACTTCTAAAATATTTCCTTTGCGATACTGCTGCTGTGGTGCATACCCCATTCCTTTTCCCATCCCCGTTACGTTTCCCACACATGGCAGTGGTGTGTGTGGTAGTCTCTTGTTTAGCCCTGTAGAATTGTGTGGCAAATACTCAGGCAGAATTTCCAGATCACCAGAAACTGCTGCTTTCAGCCCCCTCAGAGCACAGCCAACCTTCCCCCTCAGTCTCGGAGGGGGACTCAGTCTCCAATAAGTACCTCCTTCCTGCTACCCTTGTCTCAGGTTCCCAAATTCTAGAAAGCACAGAGAATTGCTCACAAAGGAATCCAAAGCCAAGGCCTGACAGGCTTTTATCTTCAAGGAACATGCATATGAACCTTCTGGTGGCAGCAATTAGAGCAGCCACCTTGAAGCAATGTGACACAGTCCCACCTTTGGCCACTGAGTGATTGCAGACATTCATTTTGCTTGTCTGTGGTCGAGAGAGGTCTCTGGCCTCCTGCCTTGAGGCTGCAGCCACAGCTTGCCTGGCCCTGTGTAAGTGTTTGACCTATTTCATACATGCCACGCTGTGTGCAGCTGTACCTCCAGGGGCTGCCACCCTGACCATTCTGCTGATAGAGTGGTTTCTCCTGTTTCTTCTTTTCCACAGTAAAGATTATTTCCCAGCCTGGATTTTTGGGGCGGGCCCAGGATCTGGTTGTATAGACGCCGCTCTCTGGCTGCTGCCAGCCTCGCTCATTTCCAAGTGTGTACACTGGACTTCCTAGAAACACTGCAGCCTCTGCTAGGCACCCTGAGCAAAGCCCCCTTGTGCTCCAGGCCCACCTAGGTAACGTGACACCCTGGGCTGTAACTCTCCTTTAATGCCCAGGGAGGAGCCTCTAGGCCACTGAGGCCTCAGTGCAGGCATGAGCACCCCAGGCCCTGCTCAGCCGGCTGCACCTGGTTGGCCCCAGTGCCTGAAGCCTTCCCTTCCCTCCCCGGTGCATCCTCTGTCCCCGCAGCTCCGGTCTATCTCTTCCGCAGCTGCCGGCAGGCGGCTGCTTCCTGCAGTGAGTCACTCCCACACTGCCCCATTTTGGTGCAGCGACACATTTCCATGATTGTTTCCCAGGCTGGAGAGAGACTTCTCCTGAAGAGAAGGAACAAAGAGGGTGAGTCAAGGGGAACACTCCCTCGCCTTTCCTGAAAGCTGCCCGGAGCACTGGTTTGATTTCAAACAGCCCCTGGCCCCTCTTTGGTCTCTCTCTGCTCCCTATTGTACAGAGTCCCCAGCCTCTTTCCCTCTGGGTCACCTCTTCTTCACGTCTCCCTCCTGTCACTCCTGTGTCTCATCCTGATCCTCTTGTTTGATCTCGCCCCACAGATGGTTTCACGAAGGCCTCTCTCGACACCAGGCAGAGAACTTACTCATGGGCAAGGAGGTTGGTTTCTTCATCATCCGGGCCAGCCAGAGCTCCCCAGGGGACTTCTCCATCTCTGTCAGGTACTGACCATTCCTGACACCGCCTTGACCCTTCTCAGCCTGTTAACCTCCCAGAATGCTGAAGCCATGAAGGGACCTCTGGAATATGACCCAGTGGTCAGAAGCATGGTGGCCTAGGGGCCAAGCATGGCAGCAGCTTCACAACCTGCTGTTCCCAGTGCCTCCCCAGAACACACGCACACCACTCCTTAGCACACTGGTGTGTATTCAAAATTATTTCTATGCCCGTCTGCCTCCCCTTCTAGCCCAGGTGCTTCTGAAAGGGCAGGATTTTCCTCTACTTCATCTTTATGCCTTTAACAGTGTCTTGCACAAAATAGAGACACTCAGTGAGTATTTGTGGAAGGAAGAAGGGGTAGGAGGAGGAGAACTCCCACTTGTCCAGATCCATCTGGGGGTTTAAATCTTAACCTTTTCTTTTATGATTGATGCATATCTGAAGAAGAGTCAGGGAAAAATAGAAATCTCAAGTCATTGCTGTAGGATGTACAGGGGCGGAAAAGGTGTGGCACCTTTCTTCGCCCATCAGAGGAGTCACAGCTGACACTCCTACAAGACAGGTTAACGAGGAGAGTGGACACATTTGTTTAATCAAAGACTCATGTGACACAGAAGCCTTCAGAAATGAAGACTCAAAACCCAGGGAAAGCCGTCTGTTTTTATGCTTAGGTTCGACAAAGGACAGACAGCCTTGTCGAAATGGGATTGGACAAAGGGGGTTTGATCTAAGGTAACAGACTGAGGTGGGAAACTGAACAAGGCCTGTCCCAAGTTTGTTTTCTTTTTCTTTTTCTTTTTTTTGGGGGGGTGGGGGATAGGGTCTTGATCTGTTGCCCAGGCTGGAGTGCAGTGACGCAATCATCGCTTACCACCGCCTCTGTGTCCCAGGCTCAAGCCATCTCTTCACCTCACCCTCTCGAGTAGCTGGGGATACAGGTGCACACCACCACACCTGGCTAATATTATTTTTTTAACTTATTTTTTTGTAGAGACTGGGTTTTACTATGTTGCCTGGGCTGATCTCAAACTCCTGGCTTTAAGCAATCCTCCTGCCTTGGCCTCCCTAACAGTGACCCTTCTAGTCTCTCTGACCCACTGTGGGAAAGAGGAATTCTAATTTCTATGACTCACGCACGGGGAGAAAGAGGAGTGGGAGACCGGAGGTCAGGAAAAGGCCAAAGGAAGACTTTGCTTCCAAGGCTACTTGTGAAGCCTTCCAATCTCCTTTGGTTCAAAGCACTCAGCATGCCAAGGGGTGTCATTTTCTGAGCCCCAACAAATACACGTATAGTTGTAGTCAGCTGAACAAAAAGAAAGGCTACTTCAACACAGTACAGTACAACAAAACCGAAAACAAGCGAACAGAGCCAAGGAGGGCCAGGAGTGGGGGAGGACTGTAACAGTGAAATCTCACTAAGGTGCAGCACCTGATAGGAAGTGACTCAGTCCATGTGTAGACATTACACAGCCCCAAACTCAGAAGCCCAATTCGGAACACTGTGTGTGGTCAGCATGTTGGGGATCGCAAGTCACGTATCAGACTTGACCACATGTGAAACTGCAAGAATATAATGCTGTTAGCAGATCCGGAGAAGTACAGTAAAACGTTACTGTCAGGTTATTGACAGGAAATACCGATCTGGTTGATTCAATATATTTTGAAAGGCATGCGGCTTTGTTTTAAGGACAGAAATCCAATCTCAAGTAATAAACTGTGGCCACTTTGCTATTTAGAAAGAATGGATATTTGAAAGGATAGGTAGGAAGAACTTAAAAATAACAAGTCAACAATTTGTATGCCTGCATACCTTTAAAGTGGTCTCTTTAGCATTGCCCTTGCAATCTTGCTTAAACTCTTAATTTTCCTCAAGAAAAACTTATTTTCATAGCTTGGAGAATGGTAAACTTTAGTTCAGGCCAGTATTGATGTATCACAAATTCTAATCTTGTTAGGTCTTAATTAATGAAATGTTGCTCCATTAACATAAGTACAAGTCAGGGCCGGGTGCTGTGGCTCATGCCTGTAATCCCAGCACTTTGGGAGGCTGAGGTGGGAGGATTGCTTGAGCCAACGAGTTGGAGACCAGCCAGGGCAACATAACGAGACTTCATCTCTACTAAAAATTAAAAATTAACCCAGTGCAGTGGCACATGCCTGTGGTCCCAACTACTTGGAAGGCTGAGGTGAAGGGATTGCTGGGGCCTGGGAGGTTGAGGCTGTGGTGAGCCAAGGTCGTGCCACTGCACTCTAGCCTGCGTGACAGAGCAAGACCCTGTCTCAAAAAAAAAAGATTATTTACATATATTATATACATATATAATTAGAAAAAACAATTATACATATATTATATTTAACATGTATGTATATATATTACAAGTCAAATCTATTTCTTAAGCCTCCCCTCTCTACCCCATCATAAACTTGACCAAGTAATTTGTTAGACTGAGGGGTATCTCTTGGGCCTTTGGTTTGCATGAAGATGACTCTGGCTTTTTCAGCTAGAAACTATGGTTTTTGTGGTTTTGTTGGTTTTTTGAGACAGACTCTCGCTCTGTCACCCAGGCTGGAGTGCAGTAGCGCAATCCCGGCTGCCTGCAACCTCCGCCTCCCAGGTTCACAGCGATTCTCGTGCCTTGGCCTCCCGAGTAGCTGGGACCACAGGTTCACACCACCACGCCTGGCTAATTTGTGTGTGTGTGGTTGTTTTTAGTAGAGACGGGGTTTCGTCATGTTGGCCAAGCTGGCCTTGAACTCCTGGCCTCATGTGATCCGCCCGCCTCAGCCTCCCAAAGTGCCAGGATTATAGGCGTGACCCACTGTGCCTGGACCCAGAACTATGATTTATATTTGCTTTATTAAAGTGAATTCTACAAAACAGTCAGCCTTGACTTCTACCAAAGTCTTCCCCTGATATTGAGGCAGTGAAGCTTCTAGTTATGGTGACAATTACCGTAATCATTATCACATCTTCTGCACAAATGCAGTATAATATTTTCCAAAGCAAAATCATTGTTAATTATTTTTACATCTGTCATGGGCACAGATAATTAAGAGCTAATTGTAGTTCTATCACTCAGCATTTGTTAAGGGCCTAAAACACTAGATTTTGGAGTCCAGCGCCCTGAGTCGCGTCCTTTCCTTTGTTCCTCTTCAGGCTTGAGACAATGGTCAGGCCATCCTCTCCTTGTGGACCCAGATAACAGCAGCAACCCTCACATCCATCCTTACAGCTTATGAGAGTAAAAGGGTCAGTGTTTCACACTCTGAGTTCTTTGAGGTGGTAGATGAAAAATTATATTATCATAAGAATATTTCCTCCTCCTCACCCGGATGTGAAGGGTAATGACTTTGAGTTGATCCATGTTGTCTTAGAATGAAGAAAGTATCCATTGGTGTCCACAACCAAGGGGAAGACCACACAGAGATTGCAATATGTTGATTACCACCCCAAATCAGTCAAGCAAGGGGCCACTTGCACAACCTTTGGCTTCACTCAGCTATGAGCAAATCTCAGCATATAAGATGAGACTGAGGCTCAGAATTTCCATGCCCTTCTTAACACAGATCCCTAACTCCATCCCTAAGAAACCTCCACTTACTCTCAGAGGTATCTTTACTCTCTGAGACCCTTTAAAATTCTTGACCTTTCTTTTACATCAGGCAATTGGCATCACTAGTGCTGGTTTATTTTTAGATATAACTGTATGTCGTTTGAAAATAAACTTTACATCCAAAAGAGAATGACTTGGCAATGAAGTAAAACTGGATCTAATGGTAAAGGGTCAGTCCACCCTTCCTAGATGGATAAAATCCATTTTCTCTAGCCCTGGTTTGAATGTATCCCATCATTTGTGAGTCCAGACTGGCATCAAAAGGTGCTGATATAAAAGAAGTTATCATGTTTACGTGGCATGACAGGCAAGCTCACTAGACTGGAGTCAGAGACTCAGGGTTCTGGCCTCAGTCCTGCCACTCAGCAGTGACCTTGGCCAAGCCCCTGAACCTCTCTGAACCTCAGTGTTCTCATCTGTAAAATGGAGAAGTAAAGCTAAACGATCTCCAAGATCCTTGCCAATTAAAACTCTATCATTTTGCCGGGCGCAGTGCCTCACGCCTGTAATCCCAGCACTTTGGGAGGCCAAGGCAGGTGGATCACCAGAGGTCTGGACTTCAAGACCAGCCTGACCAACATGGTGAAACCCCATCTTTACTAGAAATACAAAAAAGTTAGCCAGGTGTGATGGTAGGTGCCTGTAATCCCAGCTACTCAGGAGGCCAAGACAGGAGAATCGCTTGAACCTGGGAGGCAGAGGTTGCAGTGAGCAGAGATCGCACCACTGCACTCCAGCCTAGGCAACAGAGTGAGACTCCATCTCAAACAAAACAAAACAAAACAAAAAAAACTCTATATTTCATACAAAGCTATTTCGCCAAAAGCTGAAAACACTTTGTAACCTTATTTATGCAAAACATAAACCAAGATGATCCTTATTACATAGAGAAAAAATGTGATATATTTCTTAGGAAAGAGAGCAGCTTCTTACCTGCCAGTGCTAGCTTATGGGCTTAAAGGAGATGGTTCAAAGTATTTCTGGTAACAGAAAGATAATAGGAGCTTGAAATAACCCCATTGACATCTTGCAAATAAACATTGTGAAAAGGTCTTTGATCTCTTAGTCGTTAAGGCACTTGGATGGAACATGCTTTTCTTGTGAAAGGCTAGTTCCAGTGTCCAAGACAAATTTTAGCTCATCTGATTACCTTCTGCTGATGTAAATCCCCTCTAGCATAGCCTGTATCCTAAGTGGTCCATCCTAGAAAGCTCCTGCTGAAGCCTGACTGGCTGACCCACCTGCCCAGTGATGAGTGAGTCATCCATATCTACATCTCCTGCCGAAAGAAAACTCCACCATCCCAGATGCGAGCAGCCTGGAGGTGGTGACATTATCACCGTGTAACATACAATTTCGTTTTGCCTTGATCTCCAGGCATGAGGATGACGTTCAACACTTCAAGGTCATGCGAGACAACAAGGGTAATTACTTTCTGTGGACTGAGAAGTTTCCATCCCTAAACAAGCTGGTGGACTACTACAGGACAAATTCCATCTCCAGACAGAAGCAGATCTTCCTTAGAGACAGAACCCGAGAAGACCAGGTATGCTCCAGGTCCGATCGACCCCAATCTAGAGATTTTAGGCAGCCCAAGTTCTCATGGGAATCACAAGGAAAAATGCATAGGATGGGTACATCCTCTGAATATACTGAAAGACAGGGCTCAGAGCTCTGAGGTCAGATCTCAACTTAACAATTCCTAGTTGTGTGACTTTGGAAAGTTCTCTGAGCCTCAGTTTCCTCATCCATAAAGTAGGGATAATGGTAATATCTACCTCCCAGGATGGCTGTGAAGGTTGGAGAAGATAATGTATCCCATGCTTCATGTCATTCCTCATCACACTGCACTCAACAAGCATCAGTTCTTACCACAGGTGCTGTTTTTTTATTCATAGACATTGCCACACCAAAGTTTTCAACCTAGCTCAAGAGTTGCCAAGATGAAGGAGTTGGGGGTGCTACAGACGGGGACATTAGGGAACAGCCTAGAGTTCAGGAATTAATTCAGCAGTTGGAGTTTTATGATGGGATTGGGGGTGGGGAGGACATGGGAGGAGAAAACTGCACTTGGAATTATTGCTGTTGGAACTGTTTGGAATACAGAGTATTGCTTTAAAAGGAAATGCGTCAGACAGACCTGGTATGAGATCCTGCTTTAATCACTTAGCTACCTGTATTCCCTAGCCAAGTTAAGAAACCTTCTGAGTATCAGTTTTCTCATCAGTAGAATGGAGAGAACGTAAAACCTCCCTCACTGGGCTGTTGTGAGGAGTAAATGAGTGACTACACTAAGCACTATCAGAGTCTGGTCCATATTAAGCACTAAGAAAATGTTAACTTGCCTCCCATAAGTAAATTCACACATACACACACACTCTCTCTCTCTCACATACACACACACATACCAATTTATAAACTATTTTTCAAAGGAAATAACATGGTTATAAGAGACAGGTATCATAGGAAGAAGCATTCACTAGAATAGCTGAAATCCGAGGGACAGGTTATTTGAAAAGGTATTGAGACTGTGAAAGCAATGTGTGCTTTGGGGAAGTCAAGAAAATCCTCCTTTTTCAAGTCCCTAGTTGCTTTTAAGCCTGAGAAGTTACTGCCAAAGGAGAAAAGAAGTTCCCACCAAATGCACGCAGAAGTTGAGAAAGGAAAACAAAGGCTAGCCAAGACCCTGTGAATCCCTAACCAGGAACCGAACAGAGGTATTAACTCACTAGGATGTGCATTCGGAGATAAGAGAAGCAATATAAAATTGCGTTAAACAGGATTAAATGAGTTGGTATTTGTAAAGCGCTTACAACAGTGCCTGGTATATGCTACGCCCAGGGTCCTACGTAATTGTTTGTTAAATGAAAATAACAATATGGTATTTCTGATTCGTAAGGTCGTTTTAACATTAGGGAAAAAGGCCTTACTTCTTCCCCAGCGGCAGGCCTGGTTCCCATGGCATTGCAAGAATGTTGCTGTTTAGGTCTCTATCACCAGGCCATAAATGACAGTTCAAAATCACGCAAAGTCAACAGTGGAGCTCATCTGGAGGGTAGGATGTCCAGCGGTGTGGCAACATGTGATAAGAAGGGGCGGCATTGTATCGGTAAAGTGGAATATTTCAGCTTGATTACACAGAGAAAAAACAAGCGCCTTGGAAATGGATTAAATGGCTACCAGGCGGAAAGTGTTAGTCTGTGAACCAGAGACCTGAACTCCTAAAACTGGGAGGATCTGAGAATACAGAGGCCACTTTGGCAAATGTGAAGGTCTGAAGTATCAATTCTCTTTCAGCTGCCCCCACCTACCAGCTATTTCTTGGAGCCAGAATGAGCAGGGTCCGGGAACAACTGCCCGAGGGTGGGGTAGGGCCCGAAGATCAGAGAGGAGGACGCATCTGCAGCATCTCTCTTCTCTCTCCCAGGGTCACCGGGGCAACAGCCTGGACCGGAGGTCCCAGGGAGGCCCACACCTCAGTGGGGCTGTGGGAGAAGAAATCCGGCCTTCGATGAACCGGAAGCTGTCGGATCACCACCCAGCCCTTCCCCTGCAGCAGCACCAGCACCAGCTACAGCCTCCGCAGTACGCCCCAGCGCCCCAGCAGCTGCAGCAGCCCCCACAGCAGCGGTATCTGCAGCACCACCATTTCCACCAGGTATCTGGAAAGAAGGCAGTGGGCACAATACGGCGGAAAGGAGAACCTGCCTCCCCTCCAAGCCTGGCCCAGCCTCTTTAGGTCTCAGAGAGTTCATGATGAAGACCCTGGACCCCCCCAAATGGCAGAAATAGGGAAACTGCTCTTGGCAAAGACATCTCTGTGAATTAAATGACTCCCGCCTGAACACACACACACACACACACACACACACACACACACACTCACACACACACACTCTCTTCCCCTGAGGACTCAGTGAACAATTGCTTCATTTTCCTATCAGCACACTTCCAAATCTATTCATGCCCCTTAACCCATCTGGCTGTCGAGATCCACAAGAAAAAAAGGCTTAATACCCACAACAGAGCCTTGTTTATTACTTATTTATCCGCTCCCACCCTTGTTCCCGATGGGTTTTCAGACAGCTTACTGAGATGGACAATACGTTCATCGTTCCTGAATGCCTTAGCAGGGCACACAAAGTCCTTTGTGAGCTGCCAGAATCTATTTCCCCAGCCTCACCCCTGCTACCTCCCCCCGACTCCCGTGCAAACATACGTTCCAGCAACCCCACACTACCTTCGTTACCCGAGTGGTCCACTGCGTTTCCTCTCATGCCTTTGTGGTGGTTTATATGCTGATCCCTCTGCCTGATGAGCCCCGCCCTGGGCAGTCCTACCCCTCCTCTAAGCTGGAGTTCAAGCATCACCTCCTCTGTGAAGCCTTTCTTGATTTCCTGGGCAGACACAGACATTTCTTCTCTCTGCTCACTTACCACTTAAATGCCCATGGTTCCCCCTCTAAATGGAAGCTCTATGAAGCCAGAGACCTTCTCTTTCCAGCTATATTTCCCTTGTGTCTGCTACTGGACACGTGGTAGGTGCCTAATAAATATTTCTTGACTGAATAAATGAAACCCGCCTTTGCCTTCTTTGCCTTCAGAATCTAAGGTCCCTTTAGACCTTAGGTCCTCCTCCCCCTCAGCGTGGAGGGTTTATTGTCATCACCAGTAAGTATTCCTGGAATATATCAGCTGTGTGGATGGCATCTGAGCAAGGCACTGGGGGAACCGGTGGGAGATGTCCTGGCAGCGGGATGACTGGTCTTCTGTTGTATGTTTCTAGGAACGCCGAGGAGGCAGCCTTGACATAAACGATGGGCACTGTGGCACCAGCCTGGGCAGTGAAATGAATGCGGCCCTTATGCATCGGAGACACACAGACCCAGTGCAGCTCCAGGCAGCAGGGGTATGAGAACCATCCCTCTGGGATCCCTGGGGAAAGGCCCCAGAACAGAGCTCAATGGAGAAGATGAGGCAGGAGAAACTCAAACCACACAGATCTGGCTGGGCACGGTGGCTCACTCCTGTAATCCCAACAGTTTGGGAGGCCGAGGCAGGTGGATCACCTGAGGTCAGGAGTTTGAGACCAGCCTGGCCAACATGGTGAAACCTCATGTCTACAAAAAATACAAAAAACTAGCCGGGCGTGGTGGCAGATGCCGGTAATCCCAGCTACTCAGGAGGCTGAGACAGGAGAATCGCTTGAACCCAGGAGGCGGAGGTTGCAGTGAGCGGAGATTGCGCCATTGTACTCCATCTTGGGCAACAAAAGAGAAACTCCATCTCAAAAAAACAAAACAAACAAACAAAAAAAAACAAAAACGCACACACAGATCAAATGAGAAGGGACGGAATGTTTGGGGAAGCCTGGGGCTGAGCCAGCACCGTCCAGTCTGTTGATCTCAGTCTGGTGCCTGCCAGGCCTTCCCTGTTCTCATAGTCCTCTGTTCTGGTTCTTTATCGTCTTTATCATAGTCCTTTACCATTGCCTTTATCATTGCTTTTTTGTTTTGTTTTGTGTTTTGAGACAGGGTCTCACTCTGACTCCCAGGTTTGAGTGCAGTGGCACAATCACGGCTCACTGCAGATTCAGACTCCTAGGCTCAAGTGATCCTCCTGCCTCAGCTTCCCAAGCAGCTAGGTATATTATTTGTAGCGATAAGCTCTCACTGTATTACCCAGGCTGGTCTGGAATTCCTGGGCTCAAACAATCCTCCTACCTCAGCCTCCCAAAGTGCTGGGATTACAGGTGTGAGCCACCGTGCCTGGCCTGTGATCCATCTTGACTCATGACTTGATTGCCCTAACACCAAGGGCTATTGTTTGGGGCATGTTGCCATTCTGTTTGTCACTCAAAGAAGATAAAAATACCACCTACTGATGTGGAGAGAGTGGTTCGCAGGGAGTCTCTTGGGGCTTTGGACAGTAACATCTGTTGGTAAAAGTCCTGGGTCTCCAGAGTGACGCTGGTGCATTCTGGGAACTTCTTGCTCAGGCCTGTGCAGAGGTATCTGATTTAAATTACAGCAGGGTAGCCGGGCATGGTGGCTCACACCTGTAGTTCCAGCTACTTGGGAGGCCAAGGCAGGAGGATTGCTTGAGGCCAAAGGTTCAAAACCAGCCTGAGCAACATAGTGAGACCCCATGTCTACAAAAAAAAATTTGTTTAAGCTGCAGAGGGGTCAGCCTTCAGGGAATGTTGCTCTCAAAGGACTTGGATGGGTGGGAGGAGCCAGCAGACCCTCCCCTGCCTGCCCAGCCCACAGCTCAGCAGAGCCTCTTCTGTGCTTCCCCCAACAGCGAGTGCGGTGGGCCCGGGCGCTGTACGACTTTGAGGCCCTGGAGGATGACGAGCTGGGTTTCCACAGCGGGGAGGTGGTGGAGGTCCTGGATAGCTCCAACCCATCCTGGTGGACCGGCCGCCTGCACAACAAGCTGGGCCTCTTCCCTGCCAACTACGTGGCACCCATGACCCGATGAACCCTTCAGGGGACAGAAGCTTTTTGTCTGGAGCTGCCCACAAGGAAGGGGGCAAGGAAAAAAGGCTGGACTCCATGACTATATATACATACATCTATCTGCGTCTGCCTGTGTACACACAACACTTTATACTAGTAATTTATTGGCAATTGGGCTGGTAATTAGTTGATGCAAAAGGGAACTCAGGTGGAGAAGAATATTCACACTTGCTTTTCTGCTCCCCACAGGGGTGTGTGGAAGGCACTGGGGGAGTTGGGAGGGGGGCAGGGAGATGAAATGGAGCTTTGTCCTGGCCTTCAGCTGTCACTGCTTCCTCCTTGTCTTGGGAATTTTCACGGAGAACAGCTAAGCAGAGACTGCACCTCGGCATTGGACACAGAACAACAGGGTGGGGTTGAACATGGTGGGGCACGTTCTAGCTGACCTGCAAGCCCCGCTCACCTGGAAGGCTTGCAGGGTAGCTCTCCTCCTGTTCTTCAAGGGGTGGGCACTGCTGCATTGGGAATTAAGGTGCAGCTCAGTGCCACGGGCAGCCAAGCCAGTCTGAGCAGGGATGTGGAGGCAGGACGGGGTTGGAGAGACTCTGCCTGTGCGAGGCTGGCCTCCTAGTCAACACCTAGCTGAGACATCCATCTCTGTTCAAATTAATATTCCTTGGGTCTTTCAAATGAATGTTCCAATGTGAGGAGCCAAGTCCTGAGAAATTGAGGGATTTTCCACGATCCCCAAGCAGCTTACTCAGTGTAACCTCTACTTCCCCAGCTATGGAGGAAATAGCATCCTAGATTCCATAAAGTGCTTGGAGAAGCTCTGGCTGAGAATGCTGAGTGTTAGAGTCATTGTTTTATGGTTACAAGAGTGTGTCTTCAGGGCTGGGTTCATTTTCCCTCTTGATTTTCTGTTTTGAAGATGCCTTGCCCAGTGGCATGGAAAGAAGCCCACTTGATAAGAACACTGACTGTGGATTGATTGACTAAATATGACCCCAGGTGGAAGCTGGCTTTGACATGAGCTCCCTGTTCAGTCTGACCATTGCTGTCCTCCTGGCACCCAAGAGTTGTACCTGGAGTAAGGAACCCCACCATGGCTGTCCCTCTCCATCCCCTCAAGCTAGAATCATGTGTCCAAGTGCTCTCCCTGCAAGTGCGCAGCACACGTCAGCCTGGCCAGGGACGAAGGAAACACTGGAGAGGAAGCTCAGGGCCTTAGAGGAGGCCAGGCGCAAACCCTTTCTTCACCAAGGGCACTCGGAGTTTGTGGGTGTGGGTGTGTACCCCGCGGGTGTGCACATGTGTGCTTGCAGGCACATATGTGTGCACTCCTATGTGTATACATGTGTGCTTGTGTGTGCATATGTGCATTCCTGTATGTGTGGACATGTGTGAGCATGCATCTGTGTGTCTGTCCGTGTGGTGGGACAGGAAAGAGGGGCGAAAGTGTTGGTGAAGGAGCCTGGAAGTTTTCTCTTCCCCAGCCTCTCTTGCTCTAAGGAGGGACGGGGTTGGGGGCAGCCATTATTGCAGGTGATTGGAGAAGAAAGATTTTCTGACTCAGAAGTAACTGCCAGTGTAGCACAAGCAGTGTCCCTTGTGACTCTGATTCTACAGTTCTCTGATCCCCATGTTTCCTTTAGAGGAAAGAGGAAAAAAGGAACTCGTGGTGGGTATAGGGAGGGAAAAGAAAATAGCCTGGTGGAGGCAGGGGGGAGTCGAGCCTGAGGAAGGAGTGCCTGCAGCTTTTGGAAGTGAAAGCAGAGAGAGGGAAAGGTAGCTAAGACGTCCAGGAGTATCAAGGGGCAGCGTGAGAGGCACAGGGGGAGGAAGGGGAGAGGGTGAGTGGGGCCAGGGAAGAGAGCGGTGTGGAGTTGGTGGGCAGACGGTGCAGGAGGAGGGCCAGGCAGTGGGGAGAGGAAGAATCAGAGCAGAGAAACCGCTGCTGCGGAAGGCAAGGAGCAAAGAAGCATAAGAAAAAGAACAAGAGAAAGAACAAAGGCAGAGAAGACCTCCTTAGCTATTTTGGTGCTAGGTAATGTGAAATGCTGCAGTAAATAAAAGCCAAAAGTAATGTTTGATTTTACAATATTTACAAACCATATGCTTTAAACAGCCCACAAACTTCATCCAGTTGTCTGATGATGTGGGAGGACCAGCTCTAGTTAGACAGAGGTACGTGATTGGATTCTGGTGGAGATTTTGTGCCTTGAAAGACTTCTCAAGAAAGCAGTAATGAAACAAAGTGTCCTTGTTTGGCCAGGCTGTGTCTGATGTCTGTGTCACATAACCCTCAGGTAGAGAGTGAGAACGAGACCAAGAGGTGACAGGCGTCATCAGCCTGCAGGAGCTGACCCCATGGGCAGGGCGGTATGAGCAGAGCTTTCAGAACCCCTGGAACTCGGTGTTCTGTTCTAGCTAAAGCTACTGAAGGGTATTTTGTACTGAGATGCCAAAGCGTCCTTCCCTTGCTCGTCAGCATGCCTCCATTCAGAAGGAAGCGGGAAAGTCACCCAAACACCCACAAGGAATGAGGGCTGTTAGCGGCCAGGTAAAGAGGACAAGAACCAAACTGTCCACGTCATGAACGGGCGGGGGAAAGGGAGCTCAACCTCTCTCAGCCTCTGGTGCTGCCAGGGGGAGTCCCTCCCCATGTGTCCCCATGAGCCCTAGTTTCTACCGGATAGCATTTCAGCACCAGAGGAGGGTCCAGCCAGCGCCTCTCACCAGTCACACAACCAGCAGCCAACACATTGTCCCCGAGTTTAGCTGCAACATTCTATGTGACTTGGGAGCTTGGAGCTTCCAGAGAAAAGCCAGTTCCTGTCGGACCAGTGGTTGGGTTTTCCTCACCACTTGCTGTGCCTCACCGCATTTCAAATATCTGGCACCAGCCACTGCCCACCCACTTTTAGATGGCCCCAGGGTGATCTAACCATGGTGCTTCTCAAAATTTAAAGTGCCTACCAATTGCCTGGGGATCGTGTTGAAATGCAGCTTCCAACTCGGTCCTGAATTTCTAACAAGCTTCCGGGTGCTATTACTGGGTACACATGTTAAGTAGCAAAGGCGAAGAACTTAGCAGTGAGCAAAACTCTAATTGGGTTCTTCTTCTGAGGATATTTGGCCATTTTTCTTTGCTGCTGATGAATAGGTCACTTTGGCTTTGGGACAGATGCAATGCAGAACTGTCGTTATTGATGTCATTCATATTTGGCGGCCCTGGTGACTTATTATTTTAGCATCTTTATCTAGAATTTAAAAAAAATGTAATGTGAGAGGAATTCAGATGAAATGCAAGCAGGAATTTCCTATAACAATTACTATTTCCTAATAGTAATTATTTTAAACATGAGCAGAGGTTGCAGAAGTTGTAAAAGTTTTGTCAGGAAATCTTTAGTCATAAAATTGACTCTGGTCAGACGTGGCCCTGGTTGGGGCAGGGGACTGTGCTCCCAGCTAACCTAAAACACGACAGCCCAGCCGGGGGACAGATTAGCATGGCCGAAATATTTGCTGTTTGCCTTGTCTAAGTCAACATTTCAGCCCGTCTATACCAAGGCAAGGGTGTGAGAAAAACCTTGATTGTCTCCATTCTTTCTAAAAAATGCTTCCTCAGTTCCTCCACTTTACTCCATCACCTTGGCCATGCCGCCGTCGTCTCTCGCTTTGGTAATTGTCAGCTTTCATACCCTTCTCCCCGCATTCTCTCCTGTAATCCGGCCCTCCACACAGATGCCAAAGCGATCTTTGTAAAAATAAATCTGATCACATCACTCCCCTTCCTACTGGATTTAGGTTTAAGTTCAAAATCCTAATGTGGCCCTGTGAAGTCTGGCCCTGCCTCACTCCTCAGCCTCCTCTTCTGCCTCCGCTGCCCCTTGCTTTTATGCTCCTGCCCCACTGGCTTTTCAGCCTCCAAATAGCCAGGGATTTGTCCCCAAACCTTTCACACTTGCCATTCTTGCTGCCTGGAGGCACATCCCCTGCTAACCCTGCTAACTTTTGTTCATCTCCAGGTCTGGGTTGGTTTTTTGTTTCAGATGGGGTCTTGCTTTGTTGCCCAGGCTGGAATTCAGTGGCACAGTCTCAGCTCACTGCAGCCTCTGCCTCCCAAGTTCAAGTGATTCTCCCACCTCAGCCTTCCAAGTAGCTGAGATTACAGGGGCATGTTACCAGGCCTGGCTAATTTTTGCATTTTTTGGTGGAGACAGGGTTTCACCATGTTGGCCAGGGTGGTCTTGAACTCCTGACCTCAGGTGATCCACCTTGGCTTCTCAAAGTGCTGGGATGATAGGTGTGAGCCACCATGCTGGGCCCAGGTCTGGGTTTAAATGTCACTTCCAAACAGTCCTCCCCTGCCCCCTAATCTAAAATAATCCTTCTCCTAAGATGGTCTCATGAATCCTGTGCCTTTTCTGAACAGCATGTACGCAGATGATGGTGCCAGACTGAGCTGTATGGCTATTAGACTGTAAGCTCCACGGAGCAGGGGTCACCTCTGTTTTGTAAACCATTGTACACCCAACATCTAGCACACAGAGGCTCAGTAAATATTTTTCTAATGAAGGAATGATTGGACCTGCTTCATCTCATCTATTTACTCGTTTTGTAACTCAACTGTCTTGGGCCTAACAGACCTATAGATGCAAACAAGGTCATATTTACAATGATATCCAGGTTCCAGTCTTTAGCCACTGTCTTTGGATTCTCCTCCAGTTAACTTCCAAGAGGCCAAGAGAGGGAGGCTGGTATCTCTCACGTGTTTAGACACCAGTATACTCGCACTTCCTACTCTGGTTCCAGTGCTCTGTTGCCCCACACATCCTCTGCTGACAGTGCCTTCCTAGATACTGCAGATCCACTATGTACCACATTTATCTGCTGGTGAATTGACCCGATCCTTCAGGACACCAAATCCGCCCTGCAGTCCCCGTGACAAGAAGATTGGGGAAGAGGTAGAGGGGAGGATGGCCTGTGCCCAATTCTGAGAGGCACTGCTTGGTCCCTGGCTCCCTCAGCATCTTCCATGAGCACAGCTGGCTCTCTTCTCAGCCGAGCCCTCCCTCCATCAGACAGAACAGGGGATACCAACCCTTCCCTCCATCTCTCTTTTCTCACTCTTCCCTGTTGCCTCTTTCTCCTTCCGCTCAAAAGAAGCGGAATGTACCTACATGCCATCATTAGCTCCCAGCTAACCTGAAACACAACAGCTCACACTGGGGACTGATTAGCATGGTCAAAATATTTGCCGTTTTCTTTGTCTAAAGTCAACACTTCAGCCTGTCCATACCAAGGCAAGGGTGTCCCCTGCACCACACCATTTGTGCAGTAGATACCACCTAGAAGCCCAGTAGCTGTGCACCCACTCGTATTGTTTTAAGTTTTGCTATAATTCATTCATTAAATCAACAAATAATTACAAAGCACCTCTTCAGAGTCAGACACAATCAGCCATTGGGTCCTTCACATCTCTCAACTCTGTCCCTTCTCTGCACCCATTCCATAGCCACTGCCTTACTTCAAACCTCTCTCATTTCTTTCCCTGGTGACTGCAATAGCCTCAGCACTTGTCTCCCTGCATTCCTGGCTAGCCCCCTGTAATCCAGCCTCCAAGGCAGTCAGGGAGATCTTATTCAGAGTCAGGCTGACGATACCAAGCTTCTGCTCAAATCCTTGGGTTCTTCATGGTCTTCAGGCTGGAGTTTAACCTCCTTAGCTTCGCACTAAAGGCCTTTTGTGATGTGTCTGCTGCCTTATTTGTTCAGCCACATCTTCTACCTCTCTAGTCCCAAACACCCTTTACTTCAGTCCCTTAGGACGATTTTTGG